ATTTTTTAATACTTTTTATTTGATTCCTTTTCCTATGTAAGTTTGTTTTCTGGCTGACCTGATGTTTCCCTTGGGCTTTTCCTGTTTTTGTGACACTACTGTCTTCGTGAAGTTCCCTTTCCACATAGGTTGCTACACTGCTAAATTAAAATAAAATTAGGCAATTAACAATTACGTGTGTGCTAAGAATGCAGCTATGCAAAACCAACCCATTCATCAAGCCATTGCATTATGAATCGGCCTAGGGCACTGATGGCAAACCTTTTCTGTACCGAATGCCCAAACCGGATCATCCATGCACCAAAGACCACCTGGCCAGTGCACATGAAGGATCAGGTGATGGAATGTATGTACAGTGGAGGCCCTGGGGATCAGAGGAAGGGTCACATGTGGAGATAGGACCCAGGTAGGGATGGAATGGACATGAAGAACATGAATTCTGATAAAGCATTTTCTATTGTCTTCATTTCTGTGCCTTAAGCAGCCTTGCTCCTTCCTATCCCTCTCTACAGAAGGAGGGGGGGTCACGGGGAGTGGGGGGAGCTACCTTGAGCTGCTCTGCAATAGGAAAGAGGTTGGAACAGCACATTCTTAGCGAGGGAGAAGTTAATACCTCAAACCACGAGCCAGGATATCAGGAACAAGAATAGCTTGCTTATAAGAAAACCCCACAAAACCACATAGCTGGCACATGAAATTAGGACACTTTGCAAGTGTTGGAAGAAATATCCTTCTGGGTTCAGTTCCAAGTGGGGAAAAAGATACTGGAACCATGGAGGCTGTTTGGAAGGTTTAATGATGGACTGGACCACATGGCTTGGAACTCCAGAGTGAAAGGGAAGGATGATCAAGGTGAAGGAAGATCAAGGTGAAGGAAGATCAAGAAAAGGCTGAGGTGCCGAGAGTGCCTGGGTTTTATGCCCTCTGTTGGGATTTGAATTGGAGCTTGTATTCTGATTGGTTGTCAGACTCCCATGGGGCCATGCAGGGGCAACTCTGTAGGCCAGTGGCCCCCAACCTTTTTTGTGCCACGGCCTGGTACCAGCATCACAAAATGATCCGCGGCCCGGTACCGGCATCAGCACGCATGACAAGGCAAGGCGAGCCGAGCGACCGGCCAGCCAGCCGTCCCCCGCTTCTCCCCGCCACCTTCAACTCCTCCTTTGTACCTTTTTTGTGCTTTTTTGTGCTTTCTTAATTTCCTCCGCCATCGGGACGGCTCTTCGTTCGAAGCCGCCCCCCCCCTTCGATGAAACTAAGGCGCGAAGATTCCTTCAGGACCCAAATGCCGCTTTCCAACCGGAAAAACTCACCTGGAAGCACTTTCTCATCGAAACCAGATGGTGGCGCCCAGCAAACCGGCGGCCTGGTAGAACATGATCCACGGACCAGTACTGGTCCGGGGCCCGGTGGTTGGGGACCCCTGCTGTAGGCTGTCCTGAGTCCCAGGCTTGGTTGAGCCTTGCTGGATCATGATGCACTGAAAGGGCTTTTGAGCAACTGCTATAGCTTTACCTGGAGATCTTTGTTATGTAAAGTATTGTGGCCCAGGCCTTAATGGCCCACCCATTAACAAAGGTGGGGGTGAGTTTCTGCTTCTGAGTTTCTACTCTTTTTAGAGGAAATATTCTGCCTTTTTAATATTTCCTAGAATATTTCAATTTTCTAGGAGAGGGGTGGGTGTTAACTTCCTATACAAGATACCTGTGACCTGGGGGAAAACACAGGTGATGTGACATTTAGCCATGTAGGGGGCTGAGATTCAAATAACCAGCTGATATTATCTGTTATGCGTGCATTCCTAGGGGAAGGGCAAAGGGCTGAATGCGACCCCCCCTTGACTATAAAAATTGCTGTAAGATTCTCATTGAGGCCTTTGCTTATCTTTCAAACCAGGGTCCTTATATCTTGATACCAAAATAAAAGTATATTGTATTACACCTTGTGTCCAGTGACTTATCGGCTTCGACACCAAGCCAGAGCCCAGTTTTGGGGACAACACATGCATGCCTGTTTTTTGGTCATTTTGGGGGGCAGTTTTTGGGCCATTTTCTGGGCTGTTTTCTGGCCATTTTTGGCCCGAAAAAGGCCCGAAAAACAGCCTGAGAACGACCCTAAAAGGGCCTGTTTTGGGGCCAATTTTTGGGCCGTTTTCAGGCACTCCTGCACCCACGAAGACCAGCTGGCAATGGCACCTGTGCCATAGGTTTGCCATCACGGGCCTAGGGCTAGACTTTGTGGCAATGCTAGTGCGGAAATGGGCTTCTTCTTCTTTTTCTTTTTCTCACCTGCCCCCATTGAAGCTCATTGGGACACAAACTGGCCTGGCCCCTCTGACTTTAATGGATGGAATTCAGTTCAACTGAAAGCGGGCTAAGAGATGAACGCTTATGCAGGTTTCCCCAGAATCTTTATTTTTTTCTGGGATATGAATGAATGAAGCTAATTTTCCAAGAGCGCCTTTTAAAGGCCTCAAAGGACTAGGGGAGGGGTCTGCAACCTTAAACACTCAAAGAGCCATTTGGTCCCGTTTCCCAGAGAAAAGAGAAACACTGGGACCCATAAAACCTGGGTGGGCGTGGCCAACTCCACATCACTCCCAACCAGTGACATGATCCCCACTGCCACGCCTACCCGTTTTGTGGCTCCCAGTGTTTTCTGTGGGAAATGGGTCTCTCTCTCTCTCTGTCTCTCTCTCTCTCCCTCCCTCCCTCCCTCTCATTTCTGGCTTTTGTGTTTTACCTTCTCAGCCCAGAGATGTGACTGGGAGGGGAGGACGAGGGGCGGGGCCAGCCAGTGGCAGGATCACCCAACAGGGAGCTACAGCAGAGGGCCCAATGCGGCTCCAGAGCTGTGGGTTGCCGACACCCGGATTAGGTAGAACTTTGTACATATAATTATACTAAATCAAATACTTCTTTTTGTTTTGTGTTCCTAAATACCCACAACAAATACAGGTAGTCCTCGACTTACAACAGTTTTATTTAGTGACCATTCAAAGTTACAACGGCACTGAAAAAAGTGACTTATGACCGTTTTTCACACTTCCAACCGTTGCAGCATTCCCCGTGGTCACGTGATCAAAATTCAGGCTCTTGGCCACTGACTCCTATTTATGATGCCTGCAGCGTCCCCTACGGTCACGTGATCTGCTTTTGTGACCTTCTAACAAGCATAGTCAATGGGGAAACCAGATTCACTTAACAACGGTGTTACTAATTTAATAGCTGCAGTGATTCACTTAACAACTCTGACAAGAAAGTACGTAAAATGGGGCCAAACTCACTTAACAAATGTTTCACTTACCAACAGAAAGTTTGGGCTCAATTGTGGTGGTAAGTCAAGGACTACCTTTAGGTTGTAAAGTATTTGCCCCTGTCATTTGAGGATTGTGGACTTATGTTTCTTGCACCATTTTGTAGAGACTGATATAACCCTAACTCATTTGTCAGCAAAGATTTTTCTGGTTGCTCCAGGCATTGTTAGTACATTTATTATGGTTGGTCACATAGTCAGCCAGATGTTTAGATGGGATTTGGCATTTTTTAAATCTGTAAATCCTTCCCAAAGTCTTGGGGAGGCTCAATGCTTGCATAATATTCTGCCAACATTCGTTTCATCTGGTATCTATTTTCCATAGTAAGGAGAACCACAAGGAACTCCTTTTGGGGGTTTCAGTGATTGGATGAGTGTATTTCAAACTTCACAATTCTGTGTAGACCTTTATCTCCCAGGCTCCATTCCTTCCATTCATCTTCAACTGATCTTTCTCAACTTTGACAACTTTAAGATGCGGCTGGGGATTTGAGGAACTGAAGCTGAGAATGTCTGAGACATAGATGGGGGGATAGATAAAAATAGATAGATGATAGAAGATAGATAGAAAGATAGATAGATGATAGATAGATATAGATGGGTGGATGGATAGATAAATAGGCTGGCTGGCTGGATAGATAGATATAATAGATGATAGAAGATAGATGATAGATAGATAGATAGATAGATAGATAGATAGATAGATAGATAGAT